GAAATGATACAGACTATGAAAGACATGAGCAGCTCTCATAGAAGCATTTTCACTGCTTTAAGTGTACATATACATCACCTGGATATCTTGCTAACCTGGGGATCCTGCTGCAGTAGGTCTAGGGTGGGACTTGAGACCCTGGCTGTTATAACATGCTGAAGCTGCTGGTCTAAAGGCCACATTTGATCTAAAATATATTACAGTCCTATTTTCCTGTTACTGATAACTAAATATATAGCATATTTTCCTTGTTACCTGACAATGGGGAATGTGCAAACAATGAAAGGTCTCTAAGACTCCAAGGAATATACAACCACATACACACATGCACATTGCACATACCCACGTTTAACTTTTGCAGATGATCTTACCTTCTCACTTTAGGTTCTTTGTTTTACAGCACTACCCCCAGTGGATTGTAATTTTGGAGATAAAGCTTTCAAGAAACTAATGGATTTCTTGTTGTCAGCACTAAGGCACCTCCGTTTTACAGTGAAATTTGAAAGTAAATTGATGGCATTTGTCTTTGCATTTCATAGGAAATAATCACCCTAACACTTGACGATTTTTACTTCACTCTTGGGAGAACCAGTGTCCACCCATTAAAGAAAACAATGTGAGAGTGTTCTTTTCCACCCACCTTCTTTGGCTATTTCAGAAGCTTTTATTAGAATTTTGATGGCCTGTTTGTATTCTTTATTTTGCAGCATTTTGTCTGAGAGTAATCTGTAAGTCCTCAGGAGACTCTCACAGGCCAACAAGTTGAGAGAGCGGCCTGTCTCATCCTTCCATATCCGCCCCTGCGTCAATTGATGGAATGCTTCATAATGCTCAGCAGCTTCCAGAAGCTGACCTGAAGAATAAAAGCCATTCATAAGTATAAAGCAGAGGTCAGAATGTGTTTTCAGAAATTTTGCATAAATTTTAGCTTTACTATTAAATGGAGAAACACCATGGATTATGGTGAAGGATTTCTAAGGCTGAAGATGAATTAAACTGGGAAAGGAGCTGTCTCTAATTGGACCTCAGTTTCAGCACGAATTTTAGATAGACACCTGCAAGAGGGAGGGATGTACTCTGGCTAGTAGAAATTTACTGGGCTTGCATATGTTTAGAGAGGGTGTAAAAGGCCAGCAATGATTATTAATCACCATCATATTGGCTAATATTTCTTTAACATTATGTATGCCATGCATCGTGCTATGTGCTTTATATGTATTTCTCATTTTATCTTCAAAACAATCCAATGGAGTGGGACTGTTCTGATTTCCTATTACAGAATAGAAAGCCAAAACTTAGTACGGTTAAGAATTTTGCTCAAGATGGCAAGTCTAGTGCTATAATATCCAGGAAATCTGACTCTAGAGCTGATACTATCAACCAATATCCTCTACTGCTTTCCCAACAGATGGCAATTTCATCATTCTTTTTTTCTTTTCTTTTCACTCTGTCACTCAGGCTGGAGTGTAATGGTGCAATCACAGCTTACTGCAGCCTTGAACTCCTGAGCTCAAGCAATCCTCCCACCTCAGCCTCCCAATTTCATCATTCTTAAAAAAGAATGCATCCATTATAAACTTCAAATTCAAACATTATGGCTCCTTAAACTGCTTCTTGGCCGGGCGCGGTGGCTCACACCTGTAATCCCAGCACTTTGGGAGGCCGAGGCGGGCGGATCATGAGGTCAGGAGATCGAGACCATCCTGGCGAACACGATGAAACCCTGTCTCTACTGAAAATACAAAAAAAGTAGCCGGGCGAGGTGGCGGGCATCTGTAGTCCCAGCTACTCGGGAGGCTGAGGCAGGAGAATGGTGTTAACCTGGGAGGCGGCAGAGCTTGCAGTGAGCGGAGATCCCACCACTGCACTCCAGCCTGGGCGACAGAGCGAGACACCGTCTCAAAAAAAAAAAAAAAAAAAAAAAAAAACAAAAAAACTGCTTCTCAAAGTTTGACTGGACTTTCCAATGAGGTTTTTGTATATCCTATTTAGCTTTGAATAATTAGAATGTAACTAACTGCCTTTTTGGGGATTTTACCCTATAATAAAATCCAAAATATATCTTCTCCAAGCTTAAACTCTAAATTAGCTGTAAGTAATTTCTTTCCTTAAAATATGAGCAAGCATATTTCTAGAAGAGGAGTCTGCAGCTCCATACAGTGGATTTAGTATTTTACTTGTTCATTTCCTCATGGGAATGCTCACAATATCCTGAAATGTAAATACTCTTTTCTGGTATTGGAGTTACATAATTGGAATTGATATAAAGAACACTTACATCTAGGCACTCCAACCATAGTGGTTAAGAGTGAGTGTGGGCTCCAAGCAGATGGCCTGTTCCTATCCCAGCTTTCCCAGCTTTTGTTTAGCCTCAGGCTAATTACTGCCCTCTGTGTGCCTTACTTTATTCTTCTGCAAAATAGGATTACTGTGTAACTTTTCAAGGTACTATTGTGAGAAATGAATTCATGCATGTACAATTATAAGTTACAGGGCACCTGCTCAGGAAACACAGCTTATGTGATCAGTTGGTACAGTAATAATATCTTCAGAAACTCCAGCAGGCAAACTGAAATATAGCCACTAATTTATTATGTTTATTAAGTATAACTTACTCTT